GGCTCATGCTTGTAATCCCAGCACTTTGGGAGGCCAAGGTGGGAGGAATGATTGAGGCCAGGAGTTTGAGGCCAGCCTGGACAACATAGTGAGACTCCATCTCTACAAAAATAAAAAAAAAAAATTAGCTGAGTGTAGTGGTGCATGCCTGTAATCCCAGCTACTGAGGTGGGAGAATCGCTTGAGCCCAGGAGTTTGAGGCTGCAGTGAGCTATGATCAATAGCATTGCACTTCAGCCTGAGCAGCAGAGTGAGACCCTGTCTCTAAAAAAATAAAACAAGAAGTAAATCCACCCAAGTCACTCTCATTGGCTTAATATACTTTTTTGGTTAGAAAAGGAAATTCCAGAGCAAGTCCCTTCCTGTGCTAGTGGCAGAGAGAAAAAAGACAAGGTTGGAGGGGCCTTGATTCTGAGGCCTATTTCTGAGACCTTTCAATTTTCTAAAGCACTGAGCATGCCGGTGCGCCATACTTTGGGGAATCGTTTTGTGCACCCTAAGAATATCCTGAATAGTATACTGGAGCAGAGAAAAAACATTAGGTAAAAACTAAAAAACTTTCAATCAACTATGGACATAGTTAATAATGTATCAATGTCGGAAGAAATTATCCTTAAATCACAGGATTCTGGCGCACACAGTGCTTTGCACTAGATTTCATAAGCAGAGCCTGAGCAATACCCATTTAACATTTTACGAGGAGGCAGGCTCCATTTTAATAATCTAATGTACTTGTAGTAAAAAAAGAAGTGATTTAAAAACTGACCTGGAAATAGAGATCATCTGGGTTAAATTGTAGATTCCATATTTTTTATGTGAAACACTTGAAAAAATTTCAATTATATTTATTAGTGATTAGATGAGTGATTGCACCTAAATAGTGATGAGCTTTGTCAGGTTGAAGGAAGAGGCCTTGTGGCGTTTTGTAGACCTTGTGCTTGGCCCAGCACCATTCAACATTTTAATTAATAGCTTGGATGAAATTATAAAAGGTAAGTTTGTCAAATTTGTGCATGACAAGCTGGAAGATTGAGATTTAGGAATAAACTAGGGGTGCATTTAAAAAAAATTAAGAGAAAAAATAAAATAATAAAGATTAAAAAATTAAGAGGGATAAAGGCAAATTGTGATATATGGGCCTAAAAACCCAACTATGTTGCTAAGACCTGACTAGGAGCATTGTGTTCAGTTATGTTGTCATACTTTGAGAGGAATATAGACCTTGCTTTTTAAGTAACCATTGAAGGAAATAGTAATTATTCTGAAGCAGAAAAGAAAAATAGTCAGAAACAGAAGAATTGCTTGGAAATATATAAAATGCTGTCGTATGGAGGGATTAGATTTACCCTATAAATTATCCCAAGGTTTGGAACCAGGACCAATAGATATATACTACAGGGAAATAGATTTTTAAATCAATGTATGAAATTACTGATAGTACTGTTTGCAGATGAAACAAATTGCCTGAAGAGGCAATAAACTCCCCCTTTATCAAAAGAAGTGTTTAATCATGAGCTAAACGTCTATTAACATTTTTACTGTAGAGGAATTTGAAGCACCAGATGCATCCTTGTTCCTTTCAACTCATTCATTAATTATATGACATCGAATTTTAAATAATTAAGAAATAGATAACAAAAATAGAGGCAATGTAGAAAAATTTCCAGGAAATGTATTAGAAGCAATAGGTCAGGCAAATAAATTTTGTTTTTAAAGGAAATCTGAGTGTTTGAAGTTGAAAAGAAATGATCTGGTAGAGAGATAGGAAAAGCAAGTGGTAGTTTGGGACCTAGGCTCTGTGAGACAGGAGGTAGTAGACTTCATAGTAGTAGATTTCAGAGAATTCTGAAACTAATGAGATGCTTGTTAGGATGGCTAAGCATGAAAGTTTACTGATTTTCATTCTTACCCAATTCGCCGTAATTTTTTTTTCATAAGTTAGAAAATTGGGCATTTGACTGAGGGAGGTGAGGAGGGGCAAAGGATTAAATGATGAAGGGAAATAAAAACCGGCCCCACCGCTTGACACTATTGCTGCAACACCAGTCTTTCATAGTTTTACAAATTTGTTTAGCATAACTCTCAGCACAACTTGGTTTTGCTTCTTGTATTGTTCCTCCTAAATCAGCCTGACTCTCCTGCTGTCATAATTCAAGTTTGTCCCTTTTGAAGATGTTCCCTAAAGAACTGAGCTGTAGATTCTATTTATCCGATTATCATATTTAAGTGAGACAAGTCTTTCCAAATTGCAAAACATGATTAAAATCGTTTTGAGCATTCAAATTGGATGCAAAAGTAAAATTTTCTAATCAAACCTCAGCTCAGAGACTGCAAATTCCAAAGACAAGTATGGCAGTCAGACATCAGGAAAACAGATCTGTGAACCTGAAGAGAAATTATTTTATGCACAAATCTGGCAGGAGTGGGGAACCCGCGACCTCCCTTCTGGATCCTTGAGTGCGGTTTTTTGACAGAATCCAAATTTTAAAGAACAAATCCTTTTAATAAAGGGCAGTACTGTCTTAAAATATGCTGTAAGGAATATCTCTAGCATTATCTAGAACTATCTAGTTAAAAGATAAGATTATTAGGTCCCTTCCTGTAGAGACCGAATCTTAATCTGTCATTCTCCTACTACTTCTATGATTGTTGGCACGTTCATATACTACCTATGATTTTCTTAATCATGATTAAAGTTGTCTTTTTATTTGAATATTATAAAATGAAACTTTATATATTATAAATAACAGTACTTATCATATGTAGCTCATTTTCAAACTGAATACAATTAAAAAATGATTACCAAATTCTTGCTAAATATTGTTTCCCAAGTTCTGAGCCCAAAGCCTAGTCTCTTTTTGTTAATAAGGGGGATAAAAAGGTGATAACACAAATTGAGACATTCTCCTTTACTTAATTAGAAGGTTCAAAAAAGAACGTCCTTACTATATGACTCAAATGTTGTTTAGTGCTGTGTCTACATAATTGCCTAAAATAATCCCACTTACTATTAGCTGTACTTCTACTACATTTTGGGAAAAGTGATTTAAAGAAACACCTTTTCCCTTTCTCCAGCTTTCATTCCATGGAACTACTCATTAATGAGTTGTTTAGAAAGTGCCTATTCTATTCCAGACCGTCCTATGACTGGTCACATGCAGCTTCATCTTCCCCTAAACATCACTGCTATGAAGGATGGGAGCTCGCTGCAGATTCATCTTGATCCTTGACACCATCTCCTGATTTATCAATGTTACTATTCATGTAGAAAGTTTGCAGAGCTGTGATGACGGATGGCTACATGTGTGTCTTCCGTATAGTAAATTACAGGAGAAAGTGGCTGGTAAGCACACAGCTATAAGCACATGATAGATTATGAGCTTTTAGATCTCTGCAGAAACTGCAAAGAGCAGGGCAAAGTTGATTTTATCAATCCAGATATATCAAGTCTAATCGATATAAAAGTGAAATTGAGGCCATCAATATGCAAAATAATTTTCGTTTTAGAATATGTAGAGAAAAGGAAAAGCCTCCAAAAGAAAAGACTTTTTTTCCTACTTATTATTTCCCCAATTAAATCTTTATCTTAACACCTTTTAAAATTTAAAAGATAACTCATGTTTAGTTTTCATTTTTCCCTATTGCTTTCCATATTTCTTAAAGGCACAGTAAGTGGTACTGCAGGTTAATGTCAAGCTCAAAATAGAGATTA